GTTGGAGACAATGCAGAATAAATAATTTTGAAAATTTAAATTTTTTAATAAAAAAATTTAAAAATAAGGTTTTTTAATATATGGAAATAAAATTAGAAATTTATTGTACATTTGTAACATCAAAAACACTGTATTCTTTAGAAGTGTTGTCTTTGAAAAGTAATTTTTTAACATTATTATTTAGTGCCCTTTTCAGTACCCCCCTCTACTCTCTATGCAATGTTCCCCTCTAACCCCCCTATATTAACCCTTCTCTATCCCCCCCTCATAATAACCCCTCTCCCTCTCTAACCCCCCTCATAATAACCCCTCTCCCTCTTTAATCCCCCCCTATATTAACCTCTCCATTAAACCCCTCTCTAACCCCCACATTAACCCCTCTCTAACCCCCTATATCAACCCCTCTCTAACCCTCATAATAACCCCTCTCCCTCTCTAACCCCCCTCATAATAACCCCTCTCCCTCTTTAATCCCCTTAATATCAACCCCCACATTAACCCCCTTCCCCCCACAGAAGGGGGTCCGCGACGCCTCTAACTTCGACGCGGAGTTCACGAAGGAGGACCCCACCCTGACCCCCATCAACCCCGAGGTGGTCCGGGCCATCAACCAGCAGGAGTTCGTGGGGTTCTCCTACACCAACCCCGAGTATGGGGTCCAACCCCTGGCTTCGTAGGGGTCACAACCCCTAGCTTCGTAGGGGTCACAACCCCTGGCTTCGTAGGGGTCCCAACCCCTAGTATGGGGTCCAACCCCTAGCTTCGTAGGGGTCCCAACCCCTGGCTTCGTAGGGGTCCCAACCCCTAGCTTCGAAGGGGCACAACCCCTGGCTTCGTAGGGGTCCCAACCCCTAGTATGGGGTCCAACCCCTAGCTTCGTAGGGGTCCCAACCCCTGGCTTCGTAGGGGTCCCAACCCCTAGCTTCGAAGGGGCACAACCCCTGGCTTCGTAGGGGTCCAACCCCTAGCTTCGTAAGGGTCCAACCCCTAGCTTCGTAAGGGGTTATAACCCCTCCAAAAGGGGTCAAAAGCCCTCGCCGCTACCGCAAGACCACACGTGATGGTCTTAAGTCAGACCACATTTTAGTTTGTGGTACCACATCTACCACATGGTGTGTTGCCTGACGGGAAGGCGGTGGGTGGCGGTGGTGGCGGGTGGCGGTGGCGGGTGGCGGTGGCGGTGGTGGTTGGTGCATAGTTCAGTATTTCTTTCTCACATTGTTTTCTTTGTTCTTAGTATCCTTAGTATGTGTTTTGGCCGTGGCAGTCCCGGGCCAGCTGATGCCCTCAGTTGGGCCAGCTGATGCCCTCAGTTGGGCCAGCTGATGCCCTCAGTTGGACCAGCTGATGCCCTCAGTTGGACCAGCTGATGCCCTCAGTTGGGCCAGCTGATGCCCTCAGTTGGGTCATCGCTGTTCTCGTTATTCTTACGTTGTTCTCATTGTTCTTAGTATCCTTAAAATATGTTTTGGACGTATCAGTCCCAGGCCACGCTAAAGTCCTCAGTTGGGCAAGCTGATGCAGTGGTGCAGAGGCGAACGATCAGGAACTGTACCCAGGAACACGTCCAGTCTCTTGAAGGTCTCCAGGGTGAACTCCCCCTCTCTTAGATCATTTGGTAGGACGTTAAACAGCCTCGGCCCTGCCACGGAAAGTGGTCTTTCTCACAGGGATTGAAATCTGACTACAGATCTGTTACGTAGTGGGGGGATCCTTCTCTTGTGATGGTATTTTTCAGTCTTGAAGGTCTTGCTCTCAAAGTTTGGTGCCATTCCGGTTATCATTTTCCATGTGTACAGAATGACATACCTCTTCCGTCTCCTCTGCTGTGAGTACAGACCCAGGCGCTGTAACCTCTCCCAGTAGTTCAATTCTACCATCCATCTGATCCTGGTAGTGAAGGTTTGCTGGACCGCTTTAAATTGACACACTGTACCACCATGAGCGGGTTCCAAAGCTGGCAGCAGTACTCAAGCAGAGAGATCACAATGGCTCTGAAGAGTATGATCATACTGTCTTCACACTGTTATCACGCTGTTTTCCTTGTTTTCACGCTCTTCTCACACTGTTCTCACATTGTTCTCACAGTCCTTATTGTTCTCATTGTTCTCAGGTGTGCACGTGTGTGGTCCACAAACGCTGCCATGATCTTGTGGTCACGCGCTGTCCCGGCAACTTCAAGGAGAACAGGGACCACAAAGTGGACCCCAGACCCGGCACCACCAAGGTGAGGCAGGGACCACTTGGGCTTGTGGACCAACCCTGTCAAGGACCACAAAAAACAGTGATATGTATACAACATTTCAATGTAATACAAGATTTTATACAGAGATTAGATTATACAGGCTGTATTATTTTCTTATATATCGACACCTCCACCAGAAACCTCCACTCACCCTCCTCCCTCATGTAACCCCTAACCCCTTGTAAACCCTCCCCACAACCCCCCTCCTCCCCCACTTAAGCGTCCTCATTAACCCACCTCCTCCCCCATTAACCCCCCACTAACCCCCTATCTCCCCACAGGGTCAACAGCGGTTCCAGATCAACGTGCCGCACAGGTTCGCGGTGCACAACTACAAGCGCTTCACCTTCTGCGACCACTGCGGCAGCCTGCTGTACGGCCTCATCAAGCAGGGCCTGCAGTGTCAGGGTGAGGGGTGGGGTCTATAGCTGGCAGCAGTACACCAAGCAGCTGGGCGGGTGCCTGCTGTACGGCCTCATCAAGCAGGGCCTGCAGTGTCAGGGTGAGGGGTGGGGTCCATAGCTGGCAGCAGTACACCAAGCAGCTGGGCGGGTGCCTGCTGTACGGCCTCATCAAGCAGGGCCTGCAGTGTCAGGGTGAGGGGTGGGGTCCATAGCTGGCAGCAGTACACCAAGCAGCTGGGCGGGTGCCTGCTGTACGGCCTCATCAAGCAGGGCCTGCAGTGTCAGGGTGAGGGGTGGGGTCCATAGCTGGCAGCAGTACACCAAGCAGCTGGGCGGGTGCCTGCTGTACGGCCTCATCAAGCAGGGCCTGCAGTGTCAGGGTGAGGGGTGGGGTCCATAGCTGGCAGCAGTACACCAAGCAGCTGGGCGGGTGCCTGCTGTACGGCCTCATCAAGCAGGGCCTGCAGTGTCAGGGTGAGGGGTGGGGTCCATAGCTGGCAGCAGTACACCANAGGGGAGGTGGGGGATGGACAGATGCTGTCTCTTATACACATCTAGATGTGTATAAGAGACAGGCCGAGCTCATGGCTGCCATGGGCATACGACAGCCTGCCCAGGACTGGACCACACGGGTATGTGGGTGAGGTACTTGAGGTACGTGTGGTACGTGAGGTATGTGAGGTATGGTGAGTGGGGGCTTGATAGGGTAATGAGTGGGGTCCAAAGCTGGCAGCAGTACTCCAAGCAGCTGGCCGAGCTCATGGCCGCCATGGGCATACGGCAGCCTGCCCAGGACTGGACCACACGGGTATGTGGGTGTGGTACTTGAGGTACCGTGTGATACGTGTGGTGCGTGTGTGTGTGGTTATTGGGTAATTACATTCTATAATAAATATATGTATTTAATACTATTTATTAAATATAATATATAAATTTATGTAAATATAATATATTTGATATATTATATGAATTAATATTATTAATATATTACCTTTTTAAGATATTAATATATATTTCATAATATACTACTCTATATTATGTATATTACCCTATATTAAATAAATAAATATAAATATATATGAATTAATATTATATATTAATATATTGTAATATATAAATATATATTGAATAATATGCTCTATATTATGTACATTAAATAAATATATTTGATATATTCTTATATGAATTGATATAATATATATTAAATATATTGCAGACGGTCTCTACGCGCCCCCACGATGCCACGTCGACGACGGGGGGCGGCGTGGGGGGCGGGGGAGTGCCCTCTGAGGGGGGCGCTGACGCCTGCGCCTCAGTGGGGGAGTCTGGGGCCTCAGCGGAGGGCGGGGGCGGCGCCCCTGAGGCCACTGAGGCCGAGAAGATCCTCGAGATGAGGATAGAGGCCCAGAGGGTCATGGATGAGAAGATGGGGGT